ACACACACACCAAGAGTGAAGACGAGGACAACACCCACCCAAGAACAAGAGGTCTCCAGGGACTTTGCAGACAGGTTTTCCTGTAAGTACCTGACACCTCCTGTTACAACCCTTATGAACCACCTAGCAGAGATTAACTGGACCTGCCTTGTCACCCCAGCATCCTCCCAGGTCCTGGTCAGAGCTGTTTGCCCTATTTTACACCAGCTAAGGCGCACATGTGCCAGCAGGGATTTTTGCAATTCCTTTCACTCAATTTCTGTTGTCTCCAACATGATTCATGCACTACGGCTACAGGGGAAAAATTATCTGGGGACTGTACAAGCTTGGAGAGTTATAAAAAACATCAGCTCCTTCTGCAGTTGGATAGCAGAAAAAGTGTGACTAACTGTCCCTGAATACACAGGAGACATGAACTAGAAAAGGAGATGTGTTACTGTGGCTGGGGAGTTCATAGATCTGTGATTCACAGTATTACAGGGCCCATTTGGCATGCAAAAAGAGAAGATGATGAAAGGAATAGTTAGTCATGGAGAAAAAGCTAGACAGCACACAAAGATGCTAACCCCTGGGAAAGGGAGCACGTTCAGGTGTGACCCGCAGCCTGGGAAAGGGAATAAGGTCTTTTTTTCTTTATTTTCCTAAAATTCCTTCTTACTTTGGTAAGCAGAGTACTTGAATGAGTGCCCACCATCCCAACCTTGTGAGAGCACCATGAACTCCAGCGCACTGTTCAAGCCTTTCTCAACACAAGAGGATAGCAAAATGTTCTTCAAGCTTTTGCTAAAACCAGACAGCCATATTCTCTCTTGACCGTATTTTTTTCTCCTCTCACTGCAGAAAGTATTATTTAAGGCAGGCAAAAGAGGAAAAAAGGACATCCCAGCTCTGCTGCTAGAATGCACAGTGTACTACCCTCAGCCTGTAATTGCTGAAATCACCACTGTTGAAACGCTTGCAGATAGATAGCGTTTCTACTAAACTTTCACCTCCTTGAAAACAATCGTATTCAAAGTAGGGATGAAGGAGAATGATTTGCCTTAGGGATCCCCTTGTCGACTCATGTGATTGCTGTTGAAAATGGTCTGGATCTAAAAGACCACAAAGGTGTTTGATGTTCTTCATATATCCTTCAGCAAAAGAACTGGGAGAACAGTCATTGCTCTTGCGCGTTTGCATTTTCAATAACACACATGAAACAAGCTATGCCCTGCCAGTTTGGAACAAGCTCTGTCCTGCCTTGATGTACCCATGTTGTGTCTCTTTCACTGGTATGTGTGAAGAGGATGGGCAGGAAGGGGGAGAAATGACATTTGTAGGGCAGAAACAGGACTGGGGCTAGGGGCGGAAGTTAAGAGGAAGATAAAGGGAGAGGAGGAAATGAACTGCTGGGCAGAAATAAGACCCTCTCACCCCTCCCACCCCCAAAAAAAAAAATTATAAAATGAGGAGGGAAAGGGAAAGGGAGACAAAAAAGCTCGAAAGACAGCGGTGAAGATGAAACTATGAACATAGGAATCAAGTTGGCCAGCATAGAATCATTGAATGGTTTGGGTTGGAAGGGACCTTAAAGATCATCTAGTTTCAACCCCCATGTTATGGCATGAAGCAAAAACAGAGAGAGAAAAATAATGTAAAATGCAAGGAAAATCAAGAAAAAAATCAATTGACCCTCCCACCAAAAAGGATCTTAAAAGATAAACAGAGGATAAATGAAATTGATAAGATGTCAGAAAACAAACAAAAGAAAAAATGTGGAAGGCAGTAGCACAAGCTGCATTTAATACTGTTCATGGGACAGACCTTCCAACACTTATTTGTTATGCTGTTGCCCTGGTCACTGTGATATGGATGATGCCTGGCTTCAGAGCAGATCTCTGAGCAGCAATGAGGAGCGATGACCACAGCTATGACAGCCAACGTAGAGTCACCCGAGTGGGAGAACAACCCCATAGAAAAATATCTGGTAAAGCAGAGAACTGAACCTTCATTTACTGCCTCCTTTATGTCAAGACAGTCTTCTGCCTCTCCTTCTCTGCCATGTTTGATGGATGGATCCCTCCTCTGCCACCATCACCCATCTCCAGTTTGGACACTAGCCCAACCAAAATCTAGGAATAACGGGACAAGAACACTGCAAACAATTCAGTCTGCTGCCGCTGGTAATTTTTCCAGCACAGAGTACAGCCACCTTTCTCCATTTTGAATAAATGACTCCAGATTGTTTTGCTGCCTTCCTGTGAGTTTAGAATTACCAGCCAATCTGGGAACATACACCCAAGTCGTGAAATGAATTACGGCCAACTAGCGTAATTCAAAATAAGGAAAAAAGCCAGCATAAAATTTTTAGAAAGATTTCCCATTCACACAAGCGGCAAAAATGAGGGATGGCATCACTGGGAAACTGTGGCAATTAGTGGAACACTATCACAGTGCAACACCAAGGGTGTCTTTACTGTGTGCATTACAGCTCTTAAATGCTGCTCTAAATCACAAGGCACCCCCGAGGCCCCGTGGTGTGGGCAATGCCTGTGTATGGTACCCTGCTACAGTCCTCCAGGGTTGCTAAACCACCCCCTCATGCTGTAGGCACACACTCAAACACACAAGTGATCCCACTGTTTTCAGCAGCACCATTTATGTGGTAACTAACTATTCACCCCAGTGGGGGCTTATGAGTGGTTAAGCTAAAAAAGAAAAACCCAGGAGTGTCTTCTTCCACCTGAGCCAAGCACAGGTTTGGAGCTGAAGTCACAGCCTGATCTGGGTCCCACAGAGGTGCCTGTGTGCATGGAAAGTGGGCATCACTGCCAACCCTGAGGGATTCAGAGAATCCACGTGGCAAAGAACGGGCAAAATCAGCCAGAGCCTGTCATCCTTTATGGCTCTTCTTATGCCAATAAAGTTGAAATTGAAAGGGCAGGGTCTGATGCAAAAGCTGCAGGCAAATCTCAGTGGTATATTATTGCTTTTTACATTAGACTGGTCATGTTCATGCTCAACCATAACTTTCCTAATTGAAACACTATTGGTTCCTTTAAAATATTAGCTAATGATGATGAATCATAGGTAAGGATGATCCTAAATAAAGGAGGCTCAGGACAAGGTTTTGCTGTAATCAAAGAAACCACTGTTATCTAAAAACATAGAACAGTCACATCTAATTTTGCACTTTAGCCCTAAGAAATAGTAATGACACTGCCCTTAGCCCCCTTGCGTGGTGACATCCAACACATGCCCATGAGAAACAATGAATACATACATCAAGTGAAGAGTAAGGGTAATTTCCCTTGGTTGTTTTACAAGGAAGAGATTAAACTGCGACTACCCTCAGACTACCCTCAGAGTTTAAACGATGTGCGTGTAATAAAACTGATGCTGTAGTACGTAATCACAAGTCAAACAGAAAGTTTGACATGCTTAATGCAGCATTCATATGTAAAATGTCTATAGTGGAAACAGCCCAACCCACTAATTTCAGTCTTTGTTCATAAATGAAACCTCAGGCCAGGTGCCTCTGAACACACGCTGAAGTCCCTGTCAAAGGACGGGGACAGAATTTCTCCATGGAAATGATGCAAAATTGGCTCTGCCCAGGCAGAAATGCTCTGGAGCCCAGCAGGAGACACGCATTGTTTGAGCCTGCTGGTAAGCACATAATCGCCATGCGTGACTGCGTGGGGAAATTTTGAAACGTACCTCAGTCATCCTGCCTGGTCCTCAATTACCTAAACAACTCCAAACGGTTCCTGCATGACACCAGAGACATTTACTGCATCATTTGATATTTTCCTAATGTTAGAAATCATAGAACCATAGAATCACAGAAGGGTTTGGGTTGGAAGGGACCTTAAAGATCATCTAGTTCCAACCCCCCTGCCATGGGCAGGGACACCTTCCACTAGACCAGGTTGCTCAAAGCCTCATCCAGCCTGGCCTTGAACACTTCCAGGGATGGAGCATCCACAGCTTCTCTGGGCAATCTGTTCCAGTGCTTCACCACCCTCTCTGGGAAGAATTTTTTCCTGATGTTCAATCTATACCCTGTAGATGTTCACCCACAGTTTTCTAAATGAAAGTAGTTGGACAGAACCAGGCCATGCATTTTAACCCACGTTACTGGGTTAAAACCTCAGGCTGGCCCCACATAGGGATCTTGATAAGGTCTTGGGGAAGCACAGGGTATGACACACACAGAGGCTCCAGCTTTTGCAGTGAAACACCAGGCTGATGTGTGAGAGGGCAAGGACCACAGGGATGGGAGGGATGACACAGCCCTGGGATGGGGGACAGGTGGGGAAGCTGGAGAAGCACTGTGAGGGAGGCAGAGGTGGGGTACTGGAATATCAGGAGTGGTGCAGGACAAAGCAGAGGCCAGAGACGGAGGGAAGGGAGGACAGTGTGCCAGGAGCTGCAGGCCAGAGGGCAGAGCTGCCAGGGAGGAGGGAGCAGCAGGCAGAGCGTGGGCTGGGTGAAGCTGCCAGGCAGGTGGTCAGGTGGGGCTACCTGCCCCCCCAGAGCCAAGTCAGCATCCTGGCACTCAGCAGGCAGGGAGCTAGCAGCCACAGGCATCTGCCTGCACCCATCTGAGGGCAGGGTCAGGGCCTCTACAAACGCATTCACTTGAGGATGAAGTCTATTAGCATTCGCCCAAGCCATTTTAAAACATCCCAGTTACTGAGTCTCGCTGATTAGGCAGTGATGAGTCCGGGCTCTGCACCACAACCGTCACCACAGTATAAGCATCAGAGAGGCAAGTAAGGCTTTCAAGGTTCAGAATAAAAGAATCAATTTACAAGCTTATAAATTATTTGTATCTTTGACTGCAAGCTTTGTTCAAGCCTGAATGACATTAAGCAAGGGCTTGAAAATCGCCATTAATTAAAAAAAAAAAAAAAGGCAATGAGAAACTCCCATATTTAGTATTCAGTAAGCTCTTGGAGTTTAATCTGCACACCCTTACTACAGATCAATGAACACCAAAACCAGATGGGTGGTACCTGCTTTGTAAGTCGTTCAGGTGCAATTTGCCTACATAATGGGTGGCTGATGAGACAGTGATGATCCTAGCGTTGTGACTGTGCGTTCCTGATTGCTTCAGCGTATCCAAGAGGAGGTTAGTCAACAGGAAGTGTCCCAAGTAGTTCAAGCCGAAGTGCTCCTCAAACCCATCCTCCGTCTTCCTTTCAGGGACCAGCATCACCCCAGCTGGAGGAGAAAGTAGAGGTAAAACCTGTTGATTTATTTCAGAGAGGCAGCAAGCTAGAAGGAGCATGGATCTCCGGCTGCAGAGTGTAGACACGGCATTTAGAGCAATGAGTGATTGGTGATGGCATGTGAAGTGTAAAGCTGACACCGATTGATTCGTGACGAGAAAAATGTCAAAAGCCCCACTTCAGCTTCCTTTATCCAGACAACTCAAAGACTGACTTCCTCCCTTCCTCCCTCCCTGCAGGACTGTGAGGATAAACGAGTTCATTTGTGAAAAATGTTTTGAGGACATTAAAAATGGAGTTAACCCAATGCTGTTTTGCCAGGATTCAATGCTGCAGATTCACAATAATTCATCCATCTACAATAGATGGGAGCTGGGCGATCACAACAACATTCCCTCCATCAAAGAGCTCAGAGCAGTGGAGACAAGACCAGGCTAAGCAGCAGACCTGCTCTCCCAGACAGCTTTCTGCTGAGTCCTGGCTGGAGTTTAAAGATTTGTTGAGTCTGTGTCTGAAATCTGCAACTTCCATCTCACTGGTGTGGGTGAGAAAAGATGCAGTAAATTTACCCAATATGTCTTAATTACTGTGCTTACAAGCAGCTGCATATTGAAATGAGTTTCTGAATTCTTATTTTGGCAATATTTTTGCATATATTTCTACAAACCACCATTTTCGATCTCAGTGCCTATAATAAGCATCCACATCCCCAATGCGCAGTGTTGATTTCAGCATCTTGCAGAGAATCCTGAGCTCATGCATAAACTACACCATGTACTGAAGCTGTGCGCGGGATAGCTATCCCAGGCAACTATAACTGTGGACTTGAATGTTATAAATTATTCTTATTTTATTAAAATTTAATTATCCTCAAGTGGATCTGCCCTTTGTAATTTAAATATAGATGGACATGGCTCATGGAGAGTAACGTTGCAGGCCATTTGTCTTCTCTCTAAAACACCTGAATATGAGAGAGCAGAAAGGCCATCTCTGCCCACCGACATGGAAGGATGTCAGCTTCATCCTTATGCTACTTCATATGTCCATTAAAACCCCTTTAACGTCCCATTTCTTGACATCAGACCGATGATGGCATATTAAATTATCGTTTTAAATAAAAATTAAACCACCCAATACTCAACAGTCCTGCGTTGTTACTGTCACTTGGGCTGAACGGGAGACATTTTCATGATCTTGTTAGCCCCACCAACACCCACAGCAATTCACCTACAGGCTGCCTACTGCGTAATGGGCCCGCACGACAAAGAAGTAGCTGGCCCTGTGTGAGAGCACAACCCCGAGTAAAACATGGGCATTTTGTAGGAGTGGAGATTAGCCCTTTCAACGCTAGCCTCTGCTGTTTGTAGGGACCGTGATTTTTTATACAGGCAGGGGAGAAAAAGCATGAGGGAGGTGGGAAAAAAGCAGTAGTGAGAGGTTGTAAACAAAGAATGTAAGCCACACCAGATGATGGAAAAGAAAGTGAAGGTGAGTAAGGGAGAGGAAAGCAACCGGAGATTCAGGGTAAGGGGAAGGAATGAGAGAAGAAAACAGAGCAAACAAAAGGCTTGGGCATAGCAAAGCATACCCACGGATGGAGAACTTAAGACTGAACATGAGCGATGCTGGCTGATGACGTGATGAAAGAAACTCAACACAAATTACATGATGGGGCTCTACAAAAGCTCTGATTGGCATCTCTGTCATTACAGCCACTTTCCCAGATCCCTCAGAATGACGGGAAAACCCAGCTGCCGGGTGTGGTTTCTCCGTGTGTCAAATCTCAACTTCAGTAACGGAAAGGCACAAATTATAGGGTGTCTGCTGGGTGTCCCATTGTATTCTCCTTCCTCAGCAGCACTTACTCTGATGCATGGTGGAATGCTTACGTAGTTGGAAACAGATTTCCATTTCCCCTGTAATCTGCCTACGTGGCACACAAAGACACATGGAACAGTGGCTGGAAGTGAGCACTGGCCTGAAGGTTACGGACAGAAACATGAGACAAGTCCTGCTGCAACTTTTTCTTGTTTTCTGGGAAGAAAGTAAGTGTGGGAAGGGCAACAAACCCCAAGCTCCTGGGCCAAGTCTCAGCCTGCTACAGTACGAGTTTTAGCAGAGACAGGGCTTAGCTCTTGAAGGGCAGATGGGAACAGCACAACGTCTATAAGTATCCGGGCTGGTACAAGGAAATGATTTGCATCTCTCTGAGACCCATCCTGCCCTCCAAAACTCTGACACTTGGAAAAGGCGGGAAGAAGCAGTTTGCCAGAGGTCTATTTGCAGCAACACTGGCAAAATGCACGGCAAAGCTGATGTGAACCCCAAATGCTGCTTCTGCATATGCCAAAGCTGCCGCAGGGCTCACTATAGGCACCTCCATGCACACACACGCTTCTGCTGGCCCAGTCAGACAGAGGGATGGAGGAATTTGTCGGGAGACAAGTGTGGTAAATGGCTGCTACAGCTTTGCATCATGATCAAAAGGCAAACCAGGGGAAGCTGTCACTGCCCGCATCAGCCCCGAGGACACCTGTGCTACAGGAATGGCCTCCTCAACCCCGGGAGAGTCACGGGAATTCAAGAGCACACAGAGGCTCTGCCCTCCACCCCGATTAGTCTCTACCATCTGTGCTGCATGTCCTGGAAACAAAAACCAGATCTGAGCTCAGGTGAGGAGATGGAAAAAATTTTCACTCATGCAACACACAAAACGTTCCCAAAAATTATTTTGCTCATTCTTGAGGAACTTCCTCTGAGCAGAAATTGTGGTCAAGTCCTTGAGCAGGCACAATCCCCTTGGCTTGGATTTGTTGCTGCCACAGTTTCCTTTTTGTCTTTGAGAACTGATCAAATCATATTAATCCAAAAGACCTCTGAAAGACTTTTTTTTTTATTCTTAAAGGTTCTTATCTTTGAGGTGGTTCCTACCAAGGCTATCAAAAAATCCTCCCCTGTAATTTGAGGGAATTTTCTCTTATTTGAGGAGAAGCCATTTTTATTCGCTGGGAGTGAATAAAATTCCTTGTGTAAAGGAATACCCACCAGGCAACTGAACCTGGCTGCTTCTCTGGCAAAAAGGAAAACCTTGTAAGTGTAGCAGCAAGCTGCCTTTTTTAAATTATTAACTACCTAACATTCAGAAGATACTAAAAGCGGCATGCTATTGATTTTCTTTTGTCCAGAAACGTCATCAACTTTATTCAATGGCCCTAAATGGTAGAGTCAAAGAATAAAAGCTGATTCTATTTTTAATTCTTTCAATTAATTCAATAACATTTGAAAAAAAAAAGCCTTTTGTTTGTTCTTTGTGGGTATTTTTTTTACCTCTTCACTGTAAACAAAGAAGGATTTTGCTTATTCTTCTGGTATGTAATCCATACAAACCAATAACTTTCTGATTTTAATTAACAATAGGTGGTCTTCTCAGTTTCTTGGAGTGCATGTGAAATTTGAAGCGGCAGCACACAGACCATTAATGTCAAACACTTCAGTTCTGATACAACTTTCTTGTATGTTTTCCCCTCTGATTTACCTGGAATGTTTCCAGAAGATTTATTTCTAAAATGTCACTGATACATTGGCATTAGAAAATGGCATTAGAAAAAGGAAGCTGGGAAAATGAGCTATTACTTCCAGCACCTGAAGGGGGCTACAAGGAAGCTGGGAGGGACTTTTTACAAGGGTCTGTAGTGACAGGACAAGGGGTAATGGGGTTAAATTGAAAGTGGGGAGGTTTAGATTAGATATCAGGAAGAAGTTCTTCCCAGAGAGGGTGGGGAGGCACTGGAACAGGTTGCCCAGAGAAGCTGTGGATGCCCCATCCCTGGAAGTGTTCAAGGCCAGGCTGGATGAGGCTTTGAGCAACCTGGTCTAGTGGGGGGTGTCCCTGCCCATGGCAGGGGGGTTGGAACTAGATGGTCTTTAAGGTCCCTTCCAACCCAAAACATTCTGTGATTCTATGATACTTCGTATGTGATTAGCTGTTACTAAAATATTCACGCAAAACACTGACAGTATGCATGCAGAAAACGACCTAAATGACACACTGATGTGTCATTTTGCAAGAGTAGAAATAAATTAGAATAAGGAAAATATTTTGCAGCATAACTATGCTGAACAACTGTTCTTCTTATATAGTCATACATTCCACTGTGCTGCAGTTATGCATTTATTGTAATGCATACAAATTATACACTTTTAATTAGCTATAATGGATCAAAAGAAAAAAAATCTATTCGTTTTTACTTTTATGACTAGTCAATAGTCATATTTCCCTCCCAAAGAGTGACTACACCTCAAAAGAAGTATCTTTGTAAACAGTCATTTATCAAGATTTTCTAGCAAAGTTTCTAATGAAATGTAATGGGATACATCAATGAACTAGGCTTTTATGATTTTAAGGGCATAATGGATCTGATACTGCACACAGCATAACCAAAAATTTTATGACAGTTGTAAATAGTACAGGCCAGACATATCGTATTTTTATTGGATTATATAGGAGAATTTGTACCATGCCTGCCTGTACTGCAGATGATGGCAAACATTGTTGTAATTCCTGTACCTCCCACTGCAAAGGCATCCTTCAGCTCCATTACGCAATATATTTAAAAAGCTTTAAAAATACAAGTATTTAACTCATCTAGATTTATTAACAGTGAGCTACCTGGAGGTTTTAAAGGTAGCTCTCTCAAATTCACTACAAAAGAAAGATGTAAAATCTTTCTTTTTGCAAGCAGAACAAAATGTCTTCCTTCCCAGCCAGGCTCACAGGAGAGGGTTTGGAGGCAGTTCCGCCACATGGAAGTCCTTTTATCCTCAGCAACCCAAAGTCTGGGCAGACAAGACAAGAGGTCAGCTGCATACACTTACATTTAACACCACCTCAGCAGGAGGTGATCCTATATTGTCTCATTCACCCAATTCTTGCTACTTACAAGGAAGAGGTACAGACTGTACCAAAAATGTTCCCAAGGGGAAAAACTATAA